CTGAATATCCTCAGTTGCCCTCCGCTTCCCAGATGTCAAGGTTCCGACTAATGAAACACTTCAAAGAACTTCCAGGCATGTTTATCCTAAAGCCTTTATTAACAGTGTTACAAATTGATGGCACATCATGGAGGTATTCCAGAATCTGGATTCCTCTTCCCTTTGCACACAACATTCCAGGCATTTCCCCTCCCCTATTTTGGGGTCTTGACTCACATCTTCCAATTAACTTGGAGGACAAAGATTTACTTCCTTTCTGTTTCCTGGGCTTTCCCCCCTCCCCCCTCTGCTCTGGATGAACTCTCAAAATACCAGACAGTTTTGCATATTTTGTCAAAGCAAGAATATGCAGTATTTGCAGCATTGACATCTGCCCCCCCCCCTTACAAGAAGGACAGATTCTGTAATGTAAACAAAAGCATAGGTTAATGACTAGTTTTCAGTTTGTTGGGATGTTTCACATGAAACCTTTTGGCCAATCTGTCAGCTTTCACTTCACTGGATTTCACCCAGGTGGCTTCAGACAACGGGTATCCCTTCCATTGTACTAGGTACTGCAATTTCCCTTTAAAGATTCTAGAGTCAAGAATACATTTCACTTCATAGTGGGTCTGTCCCGCAACTACAAGGGGCCCAGGTGCCTTCTTCGAGGGAGTCTTAGAGTGGAGCCCCGATAAGGTTTCAACAAGCTACAATGAAAAACTGGGTGAATTCTCCCTAAAAGTCTAGGGAGTTTTAGTTCTACTGTGACCGAGTTGATGATCCTTACTATGGGGAAAGGCCCAAGAATTTTGATCCCAATTTCTTGCTGGGCAATTTGAGGCGTAGATATTTAGTTGACAAATAAACCTTTTCCCCAACTTGGAATGTTCTTTGGGGAACCCTCTTTTTATCAGCCTGCTTTTTATAGGTTTCAAAAGTCTTTTTTAAAGCAGTTTTTGTGTTTCTCCAAACTTCTTCCCACCCCCTCACCCACTGATCAAGTGTCTGGGAAGCGGAGGGCACCTGAGGATATTCAGGTATTGGGCTGAACTCTTTTCCTGTGGCCACTTTGAAAGGTGTGTAGCCGGTGCTGCTGTGCACAGAATTATTGTATGCCACCTCCGCAAAGGGAGGAGATCAGTCCAGTTTGTCTGTTGGTAAGAAACGTAGCACCTAAGATATTGCTCCACCATTTTGTTAGTGGCCTCTGTGGCCCCATTGGTAGCCGGATGAAAAGCAGATGATAAACCTTGAGATGATTCAATTAATGTAAGGAAACTTCTTCAAAACTTTGCTGTGAACTGCACCCCCGTCCGAAATTATTCGCTTAGGGGCGCCATGCAGCCGGTAGATATGTTTCAGGAACAATTTGGTCAGTCGTTGGGCAGATGGGAGTCCTTTGCAGGCGATGAAATGAGGCTGCTTTGAGAACAGGTCTATTACAGTCCAGATGACAGCATTTCCACTACTTTCAAGTAGGTCTACTATAGATATGGGCAAGAAGGAGAAAGGGCGAGGAGGAGAAAGCAGGAAAGCTCTCTCTCTCTCTCTCTCACGTGGTGGAGGTAACAACTGGAAGCCGGCCGATACTTGGCTTGTGCCACTGCATACTCCCATCTCCATACCTTTCTTCCCACAGGCCGGGATGCTCTGGATACTAGGCTTATAGAACTCCATGGCCCCAGTGAGGAGAGGCGAAGCCCTGCAAAGTGGGGCTGGGCGTGGTGAAGCATGGCCCAGCAAAGCAGAGCCAGATGAGGAGAGGCCTGGCAAAGTGGGGCATGGCCGGGCGTGACAGAGTGAGGCCAGGCGGGACGGGTTGAGGCAAATACGTTGCAGCTACTGCTGCTCACCACCAGCCCCAAGTGCTCACCGTTTCGTTGTGTGTGCCTGGAGGGTGCCAGCCAGGTTGGGGTTGGCCAGAGCTGGGGCAATGGGGGCTGGTCCCTTGCCTTTTCTGGAACAGCTCTGGGGGCTAAATCTGGGCCCTTCCCAGGATGGATCCGGTCCTCGGGCCTTGTGTTTGACATGTCTGGGCTATACTAATCCTTCTGTGGGGAGGGGAATATAAAAATTTTAAAGGAACCATGTTTTCCCAAAAATAAGCCCTAGCTTGATTTTGGAGGTGGGTCTAATATAAGCCCCACCCACCTGTCCACCTCTTCCCTTTCACTCCCCTTCCAAGCCAGACTGCTAGTGCTTTTGGCCCCCTGACCCCCTTCACAGCTCTGCCCACAGCCACCATTTAACTTGCATTTCCAATATTAAAAACTCCAGCTCCCTTCCTAATTGAAGATTTATTCTGCATCAGGATATGCAACTGCATTGAGGATCAAAGCTGTCTCACAGGAAGTCCAGGATACCATTAACGATGGTACTGAAGGAAGGCAAGAGATCCAGGAGGATTAGGAGGTATGCTGGCCACTACAGAATATCCACAAGGGCAACCCATGAAATTTTGAAACCAATCTGAAAAGAACCTAGATATCCACTTCATCCATTCCCTTCCATGGCTGCAAGCCTGTCGTCTTCTTCACAACCTTCACTGAAAGTGAGAAGACAAACTGCTAGTTATTTCGCCCGGTTGGAAAAGGAAAAGATGCACTATTGTTTCCTTCAAGGTGGATTGCAACACTCTTTTATAAATATGTCAAAGTTAATTGCCCAAAAGAAATGAATTCTAGGTAAACATCTGCACTTTTGGAACTTTTAGGTACTCAAGAGTTAGGAAAGCCTAAGCATAAAATTTGTTCAGCCGGAAGGAAGTGCAAATGCTCCAGGAGTTACAAACATATACAACAGATACTTGATACAAAAATGTGAGGAGATATTGCTCTCTTTTTTTGTATTTTGCTTGATACAAAAAAAAGCAAGTTGTGCTCATCACAAAACTGGGTTTGTGAAGCTCATTTTCAAGGTCCACAAATGCCAACCTATTCTTCAGAGGACGATCAAATGTCTCAAGGGAAGCAGCAACAAAACTCTGAAGGTTAAGTCCCTATACCAGAGGTCCCCAACCTTTTGGGCACCAGGGACCGGTGCCATGGTGAAAGGTTTTTTCGTGGACCAGAGGGGGTGTGGTTTTGAATACTGCCTGCATCCAGAGGATGGAGCTTTGCTTGTTTGTGCAGCACAATTGGTGGCCTGCTGCAGATCAGTGCCTGCCCTATACCTCCCCAGAAAGTTTCCATTCACTGCCTAGTGTAGAGATTCTCTGTGGTGCTTATGATTCATGAGCATTTATACCATTGTTATTTTTATGGTCCATTAAGACAGCCCTGATTCCTGGAGACTGCTAGAACAAGTCCCTGCAGTTTTCTTGGAAACACTTTCAAAAGAGGCTTGCCAGTACCTTCTTTCTAGAGCTGAGAATGATTGATTCAAAGCCACCCAGCGGGCTTCATGTCTAAGGCAAAGACTATAACTTGCGGTTCCCACTTTTAACACAGCACTGAACTGTCACTGTATCTTTGTAAAAACGAGTGGAATTCTCTTTTCAAAATTGTTCACACACTCAACCCATGTTACAGCTTCCAGCAGATCTTTCCTAATCTTACATTAAGTCTCATAGAAAGACTTTTGTTCCTTCACCTCAAATATCAGGAAATAAAGAGACACAAATAGCATCAAAGTTTGGTAGCTATATTGAAAAATGAGCCACTGTGTCATTAATCCTAACCACCCATAAGATGGAGAGAGATCCAAATCACTCACTAATTTTGTTAAGAGATTACAAGCTTATTTATGATACCTGAAGTATAATATCATACACGCCCCAAGGATCCTCCCTACAGCTTTCCTGTAAGAAAGGAAAACAGCAACTTGCCAATTGTCTGAAGAAGGTGACAACAACCTGGCCAACAAGTGTGATACTATGCAAATCTTTGCTAAGAAACCACAATTGATCTGACCAGAGTAATGAGCCCCTATCCAGGTCTATCAGAACATGTCTTCCTTGTGATCATTTTCCTGCAAACCAGCCTTCCAGCAACTAGAGGCTTTGGTAGAGAAATAAAGGCCTTCTCCATGATTTCTAATAAGACAGGCCATAAATAAGGAAACCAAGCAATAAATAAAGTCTAGATATTCTAGTTTGGGGAGCAATGGTGGTATCTAATCCTGTGGGAGAGATCCCACAATTGTGGCTGCACAAAAGGAGCCCAGGTTTTATTACCTCTTTCTTTCAAGAACTTCAAAGATACACTTTTAAACAACTTCACAGCAGCAGGGTAAGCTATGCAGCATCAAAATTAGAATGCACTGTTTGGTCTCTGGACTCTTCTGTTTACCTTCATTCAAGACCAGGTTAGTGGAATGTTATACCCATTTAGAACACTGGCTCATCATAGTCAAAATTATGCCATTCAGAGCCAAGAACAGCTATTCTAAACCTGTCCCATGAATATGGAATATGCATGATGCATGGTATAAGGTGCGTATCTTTTTAACTGCCTTAACTTAGTGGCAAAGATTCACCTTAGGAATATTGTTCTAGTAACATGAAGCAAACACACACACACACACAAACTGAATTGCCATTCTCTTCATGCTTTGTTATGCCCACCTATTAACTGCCGGTCTTCGCCCATTTATTAATAAATAAAAATGTATAGACTTGTATTAACTGTGATGGTGTCTTTGCTTATGAACTCAACAATCAGATGAAGATTTGCAGCTGACTTTGGTTAATCACAAAATGGTAAAACAAGATTTTGTTGGTATTTGAATGGGAGGCTACTCTCCCTAGCCTCCTGACTAGGCTAGACTCAGAAAGTAAATAGAATCCCAAGAGAGGCAATGGGAAATCATTTCCTCAGTTGCAAAGAAAACCACATGCATGTATTCATAAAGTAACTGGGAACCAAACTTGAACTGAAGTTGAAGCCAACTACCTTAATTATTTGTGATAGCATCTTCATTTATGAACAACCCAGCAATTAAGCAGGAGTTTCCATAAAGCTGTTGTCCAGATTATATACTTTTTAGTTACAGCAATTACGACTTTCTGCAGGTGCCTCTTTGAAGAATTCAAAGGCCAGGATATTTTACTTTTGTTCAGCAGATTACTGTGAAACTTTTGTTTCATAGATTACTGTGCAAGATAAGAGAAAAAAGTGGTTGTATTTTTCATTTTAATGGCCATAAGAGACCTGTAAGACAACTTATTTGTTATTTAAAAGATACTTATGATAGCAATAAGTTAACATTGTCAAAGAAAAAAACATATTACTATAAGAGGTTAAAAGAATACAAGTATATTATTATTCAAGTTATACATATTTCATACACATATATAACTATAATGCCTACTATATTTAGCATAAATGAGTCCCATATTATATTGTACTTGTCCACACCAAGTCTATGTCTATAGGCAATCCACTTATAGGTAGCATAATTGGCTCTTCAATCCATTACATGAATGTGGCTATTCCTTTATCTTTCCAAGGCTGCAGTATCAGTCTTGTGGCCATAAGAGCATGGAGAATCAATAGTTATCATGTTCCATATACTAGGCATGTAATTCAAGAGAAAATTATCCTCTGAAAATTTTAGCTTTTGTCGCAAAGTCATATTTATGCCTGTGTCATAATCCATTACTTTGTCCTGACAGGAAAGTCCAACTTGGTATCCTGCAGATGTACTGGTACTGAAACTTATTTGTCCAGGGAACCAATTAGAATATATAACTGCAGGATAAATATAAGACTGAGGATGCCTGCAGATTAGGTTATGTGATGTTTTAGTTTGATGATTTAAGTGATCTCCCATGCCCAAAGCTAATTAATTCAAAGTCCCCTTCCCTTTCTGACGGATGCAGAGCAGCCAGGTTTGAAGCAGATGAAATAGCACTAGCAATACCATAGCAATACCACAGACTAAGCAGTTTACAGAGTCAGCCTATTGCCCCCAACAATCTGGGTCCTCATATTACCGACCTCGAAAGGATAGAAGGCTGAATCATCCATAAGCCAGTGAGACTTGAACTACTAGTAGCAGTCAGCAGAATTAGCCTACAATACTGCATCTTAATTACTGCGCCATCACGGCTTAGTGGTAAAATGGGGTACATGCAGAGACATTCCAGTTTCTGCAAGGATTAGTTGAAGCTACAGAGCATCATTGTAAGATTCTACCTCCACCCTATTTATACCTTGTTTCTTTTTTTATCTTGCTTGCTGTTAATTTTAATGTTTTAACTTTTAATACTCTAATAAGGCCTTATTAGAAGTTAATATTCTTCTAAAAATATTTCAAAGAAAACACATAGCAGAGATGTAAGTGCTCTAGTTCAAGGCAATTGTAAATGCTAACTATTTGGGTCTTTGACATGGCATGAAGTGCAAAGCTAAAAATATTTAGAAACACGTGCTTTTGAAAAATAACAGAAATTTAGCTTTCCAAGGAAAGCTTCAAGTTCATAACTGCACTCAGATACTCTTCATTCGTAGGATCCATTTCCAGGGCTTTTTCGTAGGCTTCAATGGCTTTCTCTTTTAATCCAAGGTGTTGGTAGAAGAATCCCAAGCTTTTGAATATCTCAACACATTTTGTACCTTTCTTAACTGCCTTATCTAACAATTGCTTCAAGCTCCTTTCACAATTCTTTTGTTCAAATGAAGTGTTTTCAATTTTCAGTCCAGCCAGGTACTGTTTCATAGCGTTCATTTCTGATTTTCTGTGACGTTCCTGAAAACGCCCATAATTAAAATGCAGTTGCTGCTTCTCTGTAGAAGTTAAGTTGCTGATGGCAAACACTTTCTGAAAGGTTTGATCTGCTTCCCACAGCTGTCCTTGTTCTGCATATATGTTAGCAAGGTCAATATAAGCATAGACAAACTTGGTTTTACACTCCACTACTTTCTGGAAGTGAAAAATGCAAAGTTTCATCAGTTCAAACTGCTTTAGAACAGACTGCAATTTGTTTTTTGACCCTTTTTTTTTCAAAGCTAAGTATTGTGTCCTATAGCAAATCCCAATCTGATGGTGCAAGAATCCAGAGTTTGGGGTTAAGTTTAGTGCTTTCTTCAAATGTTGCAATGATGCATCTACATCTCCTTTCTTTCTGTAAAATTTGGCAGCATACCTTAATACATAAGGAACATCAGGATATCGTCTAAGCACTTCCTCAATGTATTTTTCTCCTTCCTTCACTCTGTTTATTTCCTGTAACTTTAATGCGAGAAGAGGAGTCACAAATATGTCATTGGGATTCAGTTTTACTGCAAGCCTCAAAGGTTCCAATGAAGAACCTATTCCTGAATGTTTTTTTGCATAATAATCTTCTAGGCGGTATACTGTAATTGCATAACCTGAGTTAAATTCTGGGTTTTCTGGTTCTTTTTCCAGTGCTTTTTCAAAGCATTCCTTGGCCTTTTCGTAATACCTGTTTCCAAATTTTAGAAGTGCCCAACCCTTTTCACAGTAGATCTGTGGGAGCTCCATCTTATAAGGAGACTCACTTCCAAGTTGCTTGCAGACGCTTTCTACCTTCTTCACATAGGCTTGGGATTCAGTAAGATTGCCCATGTGGTAGTGCACCCAGGCATAGTTGCCCCATGTAACCAGGCTTTTCTTTTCAACATCCCCAGGATACTCTATGGGCACAGTCTCTTCAGCTTTCTGTAAGTTTTCCAGTGCTTCTTCCTTCTTGTCGTTCAGGAATTTCACATAGGCAAGAAGGTTGTAATTTAGAACTTTGGATTTATTGATTAAGAACCGGATCTGCTCAACAATTCTTTCCTCCAATTCATCGGGATCAATATGCTCTTTCTGCAATATCCATGTAAAATGGCATTCAATTTGTTGGAGAATCTCCTTTAAATCTTCCTGGGAGAGGAAACTACAGGACAAAAGAAAAGACAATGAGAGATATTTACATTGTGAAAATAAGAAATAGTCCTATCATCAGTGATAATGGGAGATTTAAAAAAACAAAACTTAAGTGATGCATTTTTGTACTTTTTAAATATTACTTGAATACAGGTAGGAATTAGTAGTAGTTGCAGTATTTTTTTTCCAGCAAAGAAATAGTATTCTGAATATGCCTGTGTTTTTATGAAGTGAAATAAAGAGCTGAAAAGCAAAAAAGTAGAGCACTGGAAATCATTCACAAAATGCTCCAGACAGATGCTCCTCTAAATAAGGAGACTGCAATCTCTAACTGTTTAGAGCACTGGGAAACAAGCCATCTTTTTCAAACCCATTTTGTGCCTTTAAAGATATCAGATATGCAATTCTTATTTTTCTAAACACTTTTGGGAATTGCTTGCTGACTGCTTTTTAGCTATTAGGAACCTTTGGTTCAACAAATCTAAGAGTATCAGGTGAGTTTCCTTTAATCCTTAGTGGAAAAACTTTTAAATGCAAGTTTAAAAACTTTTTAAAAATGCACATTTGGGAATAAACAGCAAAAGATTATTACAACTTTGATTTTGGAAAGTTACAAATAGACTAAAGGTCCAGATAGATTAACTATAACAATCCTTCCCATAAGAAAATGCTTTTGTTTCTAATTATTTTAAAAAAGGGAGAAAACTCAAAGATAGTTAACAATTAAAGGAGAAGAACACTTTAATTGGACTTATTAATACAGAATTAAGCAAAGTATTTTAACACTGGACATACTGAACAATGGACCCAAACATTAACTTTAAGATGTCTGCCTACATAGACAGATTCTGTTTAAAGGATGTTAAGGAAGGGAACAAGTTGCATATGACAAGACAGAGACTGATCTGGAAGTGTATTTAAAAGTGATACGCCACAAGAATAATATGGAAAAGGACTGGACATACCAAAAAAAAAAAAAAAACCTGGCAAATGTCTTAATTGGAAGGAATATGTAAATAACAAACCAACAGAGTGACCTGGAAATTTTCCTCTATTGGATTTACAAAAGAGGATTGTTGAAGTGAAGAATTTTGTGTGAAGGGACAAAAAAATGAAATCAAAATTTACGACATCATTTGAAGAAGACCCAGATTGCAAAAAGAATTCAAAGTTGCTTTATTTGATCATGGTTAAAATAGATATATAGTTATCTCTGGTAACCCTCAATGGACTTTTGCTGAACAGGACTGAAATGATAAGGTTTTAAGGCTGGTTCAGGAATTCTGGGAGTTGAAGTCCACATGTTATAGAGGGGGCATCGTTCCCAACCTGTGTTTTAAGGATTTGTTTATAGACAGCAGATAAAATATGGGGAGAAGATGTCATTTGTTGTATTTTAAAATAAGGTGATAAATTATTAAAATTGATTATACTTGTATGAAGAGGAAGTAGTTTCTTATGAATTTCTTTTTCCTTGCTTTTTTCTTTCTTTCAGTGCCTTCTGGTTTTTCTTTTTTTCAGTTTGTATTAGTTTTTCTTTGCAATTGTAATTTTTAATAAAATTACTATTTAAAAAAGCAGTAGTATGTGGGTTTTTCTTACATTATTTTTATTTGTATCGTAACTGTATTTCATATTAAAATAACTGCAGTTCCTCATTTGATCATTTCAAATCTGACCTAAAATCTAGCAAGACAAATATTTTATTCTATGTTAAGAAATTAGGTTGCCAATTAAGCAGCAGAGGGTTTTTAAGGATCTCTCCAAATAAAATTTGCAGGTCAACCATAGTATTTTTAAAATTACTTATAATTGCTTTTATCCACCAAACATCTGTTACTGTGTTCCTCATCTTCTTGGTAAAGTATTCCATACTTTCCAATCAATATTTCAAAGCCCACAAGTCTGAATGTGAGTATTGTTGTGGTTATTGCCATGAATGCCATTTGACTCTTGACTTGAGATTTTAGGTCGAAAGGAACTTCAAAAACATGGGAGTTGCCTGCATAGTCACAATCCTCTCCCTCAGTACTGTTTACTCTATATTCAAGATTTCAGTTACACACCTAGCCATAAGTTAACCACTAAGGTACATTTTTTTAAGGTACATTCCTCTGATTAATTCCTCTTACCGTATATGCCGGCATATAAGACGACTTCCAGAAGCGCTAAACTCGGCGCCAAAGACGGGGATCGTCTTATACGCCGAGTCGTCTTATATGCCGGAAATACTGGTAGTTTCTGGCGTATAAGACGACGTTCTAGGAATGCGGCTCGGCGATAAAGACGGGGGTCGTCTTATACGCCGGGTCGCCTAATACGCCGGCATATACGGTACCTTGTTTCCCATTCTCCATCAAAAATTAAGAACAACCAGAATTGCATTTTAAGATTTATCAAATTTTATTAAGATATGGTGGAATATCCAGAGAATTTTTAAAAGGAGGGTAAAATTTACTCCACAATTATTTTTGTTAGGTATAGTTACTGATTGTGATACAAAGGAGGTTATATTGATGTTAAACTTGATAACAGCTGCGAGGCTGTTAGTAGGACAATATTGGAAGAAGGAATCTTTGCCTACATTGCAGGAATGGTTTCTTAAAGTGTCTCATTTGGCGGAAATGGCAAAGATTTCGGCTTTCTTAAAGGGACAAACGCAAGAGAAATTTCTTGCTGTTTGGGATAAATGGATAAAATTCATACAATTTAAATTTGATATAAAAAATATTATATAGTTTTTTCATAATTTTTAACTTTATATATATATATATATATATATTCTATTTTATATTCTTTTTTTTATAATTTTTTTTAACTTTTTCTTTAATTAAGCCTATATTCTGCTCTGGGAGGTCCTTGGGGGGGGAAGGGGGGGTTTGGGTAGGGGTGGGGGAAGGGGGGTTTTGTTGGGTAATGTTTGTTTTTTATTTGTATATGTTGTTTTTTGTTTTTGTATTGTTTCTTATTTTTTGTAAAATTTATAAAACTCTTTAATAATAATAAAAAAAAAAGATTTATCAAATTTTAAAACTGCTCATCACCCTCACAGAGGGACTCTTGGCGGTATATAGATGAAATATCAAACCATAAAAATAATATATAAAGTTAATTAAGTGAAGATGATTTTCAGGGCACTAGCCAATCCCATTGCACGTTCCCCAAGCAAGGCTGCAGAGTAATGTTTTTACACATTTTTGGAAGGCCAGGAGAGTAAGGGTTCACCTCACAGGGTGTGGGGCAGAGTGTTCCAGAGGACAGGGGCAACAGCAGAGAAGGCTCTCTTTCTGAAACCCCCCAGGGCAAACTTCAGAGAGAGAGAGGAGGGGAGGGGGAGGGAGAGATTATGGATGGATGGATGAATAGAAAGAGATGATATACATAGATATAGACAGAGAGAGACTGATAGAGATAGATGATAGCTGGATAATGGATGATAGGTAGATGGTTAGATGACTAGATAGCTGGATGGATGAATGGACAGATGACTGGATAACTAGATAAGATGGATGGATGGATGGATACATAGATAGGTGATAGATAGATAGATAGATAGATAGATAGATAGATAGATAGATAGATAGATGATAGACCAGCAGGCAGACAGACAGGAAAAGGTCTCTAGAAACCAGCTCCACATTTTCACATGCAAATGGACTGAGACTGGGTCTAAGAGCTGTAGGCCAGTGGTTCTCAACCTTTTTAATGCCGCAACCCCCACCTGGTCGTAAGTCGAGGGCTAAACCAGTCGTAAGTCGAGGACTAAACTGGTCGTAAGTCAAGGACTTCCCAATCGGTCGTTAAGTCGAGGACTTTCTCTGCCCGGGAGTGCCGCACATGCGTGGTGCCGCCCCCTGTGCCGGCCGGCTGGGCCACCAGCTGGCCCAGTCCAAGGGAGGTAAGGCACCCACCAGGCCCCACGCGCGCCAGCAACCCTCCCTGTGCCCGCATGTAGTATGGAGTGGCGCAAGCATGTCAAACTCTCAACATCACATGATATCACGCAATGTATTAGGACTTTTCCCCCATTGCCTGCAATGGGATGGGTGCAGTTTTGGCGTGACACATCCAGCCTGCTGGCAGTTTGACATGCCTGGAGTGGTGGGTTTTTATACCTTCTTGAGCTTTTGTTTGGAGTTGTTTCCCTGGCATGAACTTTGACCTGAGTCTGAGTGTGCCTTTCTGGTATTCTGATGGTGGTGGGTTAATCCTATTATGTCCCAAGGGTCATATCCTGCTTCCCTGGGGCTGTGGCTGATGACTATGTCCTGTATTAGATTTTTTGGTGTGAGGGATTGTTGTAAGGATCTTTGTCTTTCTAATTCAAGCTTCCTGGCTCCAATCTTTCTGACAAGATTATCACATCTGCATTTCTGCAGACCTGGTTTCTGTTTCGGGCAGAGAGACTTGGGGGGGGGGGAGTTGGTTTCTGCCTTTAAGATCCTTTGGGGAAATATAATATTCTGCCTTTTAATATTCTCAAAAATATTTCTTTCTGAGCTGACTTCCCACAGTTGGGTGTGGGAAAAACCAATGACAGTCTTTGTGTCTGTGTTCCATACCTTATTAGAAAAGCCCTTACAGGCTTTTTAGGGTTAGTTCTTGCAGAGATAAAAAACGAAAAGAAACTGCCTTGTAAGCCGCCCTAATCTTTTAGAGGCCGCTCATTTGGAACCGCAATCCAAGTGCCACTAAAAGCTCCCCATGATGAAACAACTTTTGACATTGAAAAAACCCGCTCAGGCTAAGAAATCACTCGACTTGAAGCCACAAGACCAAATCGGAATGAGCAATCAAAGCCAGAAATGCAACATACGCCTTCAACAACAACAACAAGGTCCCTTTATTATTATTAGTTTCCTTACCTCATGATTGCAGCGTTATTATCAGGCGTGGGAATGAAAACGATTGAATCTCCTTTTCCTAACGAACGACTATCAGGGTTTTCTTTACATTTTAGTGAGAAGAGAAGATGGTCAGTTGCTCCGCACGACCTCCCGCCTGATCAGAAAAAAAAAAAAAAGGAAACGTGAGAGCCAGTGATCTTGGGAGAACCGAAACTAAATTTTGCCCTGCTGAAAGTAAAGTCTGGAGCGGAATCGATTTCCATTTTTTCTGATTCCGTTGTTGTTAATCGCTGATGAGGTGGTTCACACGTAGGGCAGGCTGGCCTTTCCTTGTTTGAGGTAAACAACGGTAAAGATTGACGAATAAATCTCGTTAAGCTTAACATACGACGCTACATAAAACTGATGGGAAGGAATAGACGCTGCTTGCGGTTTTTTTGTGTTAAATACATGGGGGACTGCATTGCATCGCACATCTCGGAATATGACTGAAGCTGGGTTTTTTTGGAGGTGCACAATCTAAATAACCTTTTTTGGTTGGCTCCAGAAATTTTACATTTCTATCCTGCTTTTCTTCCAAGCAATTCTCTCTCCTACATTCCCCCCCCCCCCCAAAGCAGCCCCTGGGAGGTAGATTGTGACTCTTAATGACTTTCCATGTCTTAAGGTTAGATTTGAAGCCTTTAAGATCCTTTGGGAAAATATCCGATACTTGTAAGCCACCCAGGAGCACGTGTTTTGAGTGGCTATATAAGTTTGAAAAAATTAAAACCCTTAATTGCTACACTAATACAACACTTAGAAGCAAGCAAATTTATAACCAGAAGCCAACATAGGTTTATCAAAAAAACAGATCATGGAAAACAAATCTTATCTCATTCTTTGACAAAGTGACTCAATTAGTGGACCAGCAAAATGCTATTGGCATAGTATACTTGGATTTCAGTAAGGCATTTAACAAAGAAAACCACAACCTACTTTTTGGTAAGCTAGAAAAATGTGGAATAGACCGCATCACCACCAGATGGATTTATAACTGGATGACAAATTGCATTCAATACATAATCCTTAATGGAACTACATCTACATGAGGGAAGTAAGCAGTGGGGTACCCCCAAAATTCTGAAGCCCAGTACTCTTCAATTTTTTCATAAACAATAGATGAGGAAACAAGGGGAATTCATCAACTCTGCAGACAACATCAAGCTGGCAGGAATACCAACACCCCAGAAGATAGGCTCAAGATCCAGATGGATTTCAACAGACTTTGGCCCTATCTAACAAAATAAAATTCAGTGTAGAGATAAATAAGGTTTTAAACTTAGACAAGAAAAACCAAATGTATAGGTACAGATTAGGTAAAACTTGGCTTAATAGTACTAATTGTGAAAGGGATCTTAGAGTCCTAGTGGACAATCAGTTAAATATGAGCCAGCAGTGTACTTCAGCCGCTAAAAAAGCCAATGCAATTCTAGGCTGCATTTACAGAGGGACAGAATCAATATCATGTGAAGTGATAGTATTGCTTTATAAGACTTTGGTAAAACAACATTTGGAATGCTGCATCCAGTTTTGGTCAACACAATATAAAACAGATGTTGAGACTCTGGAAAGAGTGCAGAGAAGAGCAACAAAGAAGATTAGGGGGCTGGAGGCTAAAAGAACAGTTGCAGGAAGTGGGTTTGTCTACTCTAGTCTATTGAAGAGAAGGACCAGGGGTGATACGACAGCAGTTATTCCAGCATTGAGAGGCTGCCACAAAGAAGAGGGAGGCAACCTATTTACCAAAGTATCAGAAGGCAAGACAAGAAGCAATAGTTGGAAACTAACCATGGAGAGAAGCAATCTAGAACTAATCAGAAATTTCTTGACAGCAAGAACAATAAACCAGTGGAACAGCTTCCCTTCAGCAGTTGTGGGTGCTCCATTACTGGAGGCTTTTTTAAAAAGCAGCGATGTCTGAAATAGTATGCTCCTGCTTGAGCAGAGGATTGGACTAGAAGACCTCCAAGATCCCTTCCAACTCTTGTTTTTCTGTTAAATGCTTGCCCAGAAATCCCCATTAATGGAGAGCCTAATGGAGAGTGACTGGTAAACAAAAGGCCTTAGAAAAAGGAGGTTTAGGAAGAAGGGTGATTGTCTATATATCCAAAGGATTGTAAAACAGCTGGTTGTGCACATGTGCATAAAAAATGTGTAAAAGGTCCCTAAACCTTTTGACACACATTCCTTATTTTGTAACTGTGCCTGCTCAATAAACACTACCTCCTAGAAACTGATATTGATTCAAATTTAATTCCTCAGGAAATGTGACCCTAAATTTCCTTCCAGCACATTGAATTTAAATTAAATTTAAACTTTACTTTTTCTTCGGGTGTCTCTTTGGTGTGCTCAGCAATTTATTTTTATTATAAAAGTTGGATTTGCATCTCATCTTTTGTGCCAGACTTCAAGGCAGCTGATGTGAAATTTAACTTCATTAGATCTCACAAGAGTCTTATGCAGTAGATCTGGCAGAGAGTTTCCCTGGAATGAGTCTTCCTGTTCCCAGTCCCAAATGTACAGATCTGCGGACCCTGAATGATTTTAAAGGCCATGTGCTTTTGTAAAAATGACTGGTTTTAGCAATCCCAAATTTTAAATTGTGGAATTTTCTGATGATAAATATGCTCCACAAAGAGTTCTGGTCAGGAAAAGATGAAACCATCATTCAGTGTTCTGCATGCATGCAAGATTTGAAAGGAGGATCAATTTTAAGAGAGTGCACAATGGCAGCATAGATTCTGCTATTACATACTTGTGTAGTGTTATGATACAAGTATAGAAGGCAATGCTGGTGCCTGTCACCACTGATACACATTTTATTGTATGGCGTCATTGAGATTTGGAACAATGAATGACAGAGAGGACCACTGGAAGCCCATGAAGACAGGTCATTTCTACCAGCTGCCAGGGAGGAGAAGGAGCTTGGCTACTTGGGCAACCACTTGATTCCATGAGATTATGGTGGTGGTGATGTTCATTTTTGTGAGCATTCTTTATTCTGAGTTGGGATTGATGATGTTGCATTTTAAGGAACGATGATGCAATAGGTTGGAAGGCCAAAGCATAGTGCTGCCTGGAGTAAGGATGCAGCCTCAGGTAAGGCTGAAACTACAGACCAATCAGCCTAGCATCATGGAAATGTGCTGGAAAAGATAATCAAAAAACAGATCTGCAAACATCTAGGAACAAATAAAATTATAACTAGAAGTGAGCACGGGTTTGTTAAAAGCAGATGATGCCAACCGATCTTATTTCATTCTTTGACAAAGTGACTAAATTAGTAGACCAGTGAAATGCTGTGGACATAGTATACTTAGACTTCAGTAAGGCATTTGACAAAGTAGACCACAACCTACTCCTTGGCAAGGTAGAAAAATATGGGATAGACATCATTGTCAACAGATGGATTTGTAACTGGCTGACAAACCGTACTCAAAAAGTAATCCTTAATGGCACTATATCTACATGGAGGAAACTAAGCAGTGGGATATCACAAGTTTCCATCTTAGGCCCAGTTCTCTCCCATATCTTCATAAATGACTTAGATGAGGGAATAGAAAGGGAACTATCAAATTTTCAGATGATATTAAACTGGCAGGAATAGCCAACACCCTATAGGCTCAAAATCCAGATGAATCTCAACAAAAATGGATAGAAACTGATCAAAGGGAGAGTCAACCTAGAAATAAGGAGAAATTTTTTGACTGAGAACAATCAACCAATGGAACAGCTTGCCTTCAGAAGTTGTGGGTGCTTCATCATTGGGAGGCTTTCAAGAAGAAATTGGACAGCCACTTGTAAGAAATGGTATAGGGCAGTGATGGCAAACCTTTTAGAGACCAAGTGCCCAAACTGCAACCCAAAACCCACTTATTTATCGCAATGTGCCAAGCCCCATCAGCATTGTGGTACCCTTGGGGGGTGAGGGGGCATGTCCCACTGGGTGGGCATGGCTGCAGTGGTCATGGTAGACTGGGTGGGGGTGGCCAGGGTGGGCATGGCCACCTCAATGTTGCTCAATGGGGGCCACCTGTGGGGGCTGGGCATGGTTGGGCGAGATTCAGGGGGTGTCTGGCAGGTGGGGCAGTGGGCAGGCTTGTCCTGTGGGGTGAGGCATAGGGAAGGGTGGGGGTGCCACTGCCACAGGGCAAGACGAGACAAGCTAGGGCGGCTGCTGCCTGACATCATCAGGCCCCGCACACAGAGGCCAGTGAGTGCATGGGGGCCGATGGTGTCCATCAGCAGCCACAGCCTGCCAGCCCCTCAACCAGTGCACTCTGGGGCTCTGCAACCTGCTGCCAATACTGGGCCAGCCCTCCAGCAGCAGGTGGAGTAGAGGAGGCCCATGATGCAGACTGCTGGACACGTCTACTCCATCCCATCTGTTTTTGCTTGTAGTTGGAGAGCAGGTTGCTGCTGGTCGTCTCCTTAGCCCCCTCACAGATCTTGCCCTTGGCCCGCGCGTGATGCCTGTTCCCCTTGCGCACCCAACACACCTTGGCCCTGCCTCAGGCCACCACCAGTAGCAGCTCACACAGCTCCATTCGGCCACCGTCACCCGGAGCAGCAGCCCTGCCCAGTACAAAGGCAAAGCGGCCATCTAGCAAGCTCGAGTAGAGGTGGTAGAGCACGGCCACACTCAGCAAGCCAAAGGCCACCCCGAGTAGGGAAAGCCAGATCCCCACTGGTGCCATGGATCCCCAGTCCCAGCTAGGATTGCATGCCTCCCCGTCTCTGCTGGGCGTGGGTGGCCATGACACCGATGGGGATCCGGCTTTCTCCGCTCAGGGTGGCCTCTTGCCTGCTGACCCTGGGCATGCTTTACCACCTCTACGCGGGGCTTCCTAGCTGATCACTTCTTCTCCTTCATGCTGGGCGGGCCTGCAGCTCTGGGCGGCAGCTTAATGGACCCAAGCGAGTGGCTGGCGGCAGCAGCAGCCTTGACGAGGAGTTAAGCACAACCAGGCACCCCCTTGGGGAAGTGGGGCTGGACTGGGTTGGACTGCAGGTCCTGGTGCCCTGGGAGCTTGAGGGCGGGCTGGGTGCTTGCCCTCCTCTGTCCAGGGCTCTGGGCAGCCCACACCACTGCCCAGGAGTCCCCCGCATGGC